ATATATATATATATATATATATATATATATATATATATATTTATATATATATATAGATATATATAGCATTAAACTTAGCATTAAAGGGTTACCCATTCAATGTTGCGGTAAGTGCAATGTAAAAATGAACAAACATAAATAAGCATAAATAATAGATGAATCTCTCGACTTGTGTTTGTCGGATGACCCCCAGCAGATGGTATATATGGCCTGGGCAATATAGGGGCACGATGTTCTCCGACCGTGCTACGGTCGCCCCTTTGTATGCGCTCTTTTGACCAAATAAGTACGATATCAACAAAGAGACAAAGCACAGCAAGAACAACAATAACAACAACAAAGACTGGCCACAAACACAAAAGCTTCCTTTGAACTGTGAAAAGTACCATACAGTTAAAAAGCGTCTAGCTCTTGGATATGCACATGTCCCGTGTTTTTTTGTACATACATACGTATATGCAAAAAAGTGGAAAATAACTGACTATATCATAAATTAAAATATAAAATATGCGACTAAAGACTATACCTACACAGCCTAAAACCGTTTAAGTTATATAGTAGTATATGAGATTAAAATGGTATGTCCTTTAAATTCAAACTAAATTGTTACCGATCAGACCTCTAGAATTTTTCGGCAGTATTAATCACTGCAACCTCAGTCTGAGTAAATATTTGTTGTACTTATCATTTATGTCAATTTGATGCCCTGTATGTCAATTTGATACAAAGGCAATTGTCAAAGATAATATTTGAAACTTTTATATAGAGTTGGTATATACATGTATGTGTACTTGAGGGTTTGAAATTTAATATTAAAGCTAAGATAAAAGGAAACAATTTCAGAATAATGGATTGACTAAGAATCACATGATATATTTCTGCTTATATGCCCAATTACCTTTAGTCAACACAAAGAAACTACACGTAAAATTGGATTCATACATCGCCTATATGTATACCTATAAGAGATTGAGTTTTATATTCAACATTCGTGCTCTTTTTTTATTTTGTGAGGTGGTGGACTTGCCCTTTGAGTTGGTAATTTGCAAAGTGGTAATCGGCATTCTCTCAAATAAGTAGACCCCATTAGATTCATTCCTCCGCCGATGGTCCTTTGGCTAACCAAATTCATTTTTAATGCCAGCACGTGCGCAAAGACATGAAGGACACTGCCGAGGGCTCGTAAACAATGCCAAATAGTCGATGGGAAACGGGAAATGGTCGTGGATCCAGGTCCAGAGCTCCTGAAAAGGTGGTTGGGCAATTTCAATTGAAAATTCATTATTGCACCCAGGCATTTGTGTGTTTCTCTTTTTTACTTTCTTTTTGTGTTTTATGTTCCTCCTGTTGTTGTTTGTATACGGTGCTTAAAAAGGAAGAATAATATTTATTTTATTTACCTTAAGCCCCCGTCATACACCCACACACAAATCGTTTCTATTTGCACAAATACTTATATTTATAATACAGAACTATGAATATGCGATAGGGGCATTTGTTCATACTTGGTGGGAATGTTTGAGTGAAGCCAATGAGTGCTCTGAAATAAGAATTATGTATCCAACCTTCCCCTTAAAAATTGATGTGCTATGAAAAGTCGCCCCCAATTCTTGAAGTGTGTTGATGGGTTTTTACGAGTAACGCGGATAAATTGAACGCACTTGTTTCGACGTCAAATGATAAATGATCCAAGAAATAGAAAGTAATGAAAGTCGACTAAAATTGATGCAAGAAGGCTTCTAACTCCTTATGCATTCACATTCCATTAAAGAGAATCAAGTCTACTGATTTTTCATTTTGCGTTAAGTCTACTTCCGATTATGAATATTGGCCATCGTTTATAATCTTATTCCATATCTTTTGATGCTCTTACTTCTCAAATCTATAAATATTAATAGTACAGTTATTTAATGTTATTTTGTATATGTATATATATATATATATTATATGTATTATATATTTATGTATGTGGTTAGCTCAGAAAACATACAAAACCGCCAAAAAGAAGGCCATTAAAGTCAACTTGCGGAAGCTATTTGCAGAACTCATGTCAATATTTGAATTGATGACTGTGTGTGCGGTGTGTGTTGATGTCGCTTCTATTCATACGAGCTACGGAAGTCATCATTATAAATAAAATTCTTAGTTCAAAGTAAATCGCAAAAACAATCATTTGTTGTCTTTGTCGCTTCCCCAAACGATACTCTGTTTCCTCATTCGGTCCCTGTTTGTAACTTGGAGGCTGACTGTTTCTGAATTTGAGATGGGGACTGCACTTGCTGCTGTATTTTGTTTTCTAATCCGACCATTCGTTACCTTAGTTTAGTCATTCTTTACGACAAACTCTCTTTTGGAAGATATATATTTTGTATGTACAGCATCATTCATACATGAATACCATTTGTATGCATGATGCGTGCGATTCAAAATAAATAATAGAGTTAATCTTGTTATTAATTTTTCATCTTATTCAAAATGTATTGAAATGTATGATGAACAGAAAAAGACTGCATGCCTGAAGTTGAAGCCACCCACAAAGCACTAATATAAAAAAACAGATTTGCTGCATATACAGCTCGCAGCACACATCCACGTGCCAAAGACTACTCCAAAGCAATATCAAGATATGAGTGGGAAAGCGACACGAAGAAGAGAACAATAAAGTGAAAGAGAGGATCGTCAGACAGATAAACGGAAGTTGATGCCGAAAGATTTCGCTAAATATAAATATGCTCCGTAAAATATGTATTCTCCGGAAAGCACGACAGAAATTTATTTTTGTTATTCTGTTTTTATACCCTGAACCCATTGAAAATGGGAAATCAGGGTATTGGTTGAAATGTTTTGTTGAAATGTATGTAACAGGCAGAAATTAAAAAATTTATATGTAAATGTATATTAAGATGAATTTTATACAATTTCGGTTTTGATAAAATTTACCCCCCACCCCTAAATCCACCCCCTCACCCTCATCTTTGTAAAAGTCGTATA